ATTTTGACTCACCAAACTGCCGATGGGCTGGACAAATTTGGTGCTGATATTTCAGGGAGACGTCATGTATATCTTGCAGCCAGAGGTGCCTCATATCACGATTCCCTTCATTGACAATGTGCCAGTGTGTGGCCCCACAATGCGCTACGAGCAACTGGACAGTACTTACGAGACGATCCCCGAGAACGAAGGCATCAGGCGCTTTGTATGGGAACACTTCCAGAACATGAACCGTGTCATCCAGCAAATGAAGTACAGCGGTGGTACATTTTCAGGTCATAAAGCCATGCTATGCACTCCTGAGATCATCTTTGTCAGTCATCATTGCACATATGAGGGTCGTATTCCAGAGAAGAACACGTCGCCAAGATAAGCAACTGGGGCAAGTGCAATAGCGTTACCGACATCCGCACTTTCTTAGGCACCATGGGTTTGTGTCACATATTTATCAAGAGTTTCGCACACAGAGCGCACCATCTCATTAAATTGATGCGCCACAGAGAGCCATTTGTGTGGGGTCCAGAACAACAAGCGGCCATGGCCAATCTCAAGGATGTGCTCATGACGTGCCCTGCGCTGTGCACTATCGATTACAAGTCGGACGTGCCCGTCATTTTTGCAGTTGACATGTTGTGGATAGCGGTGGGATACGTGTTCTGTCAAGAGGACCCTAACGACAAGAAGAAGCACTATTACAGTCGGTTTGGATCAATTACGCTCACGCCGGTCCAGTCGCAGTATTTGCAGCCCAAGCACGAACTCTTCGGTTTGATGCATGCGCTCACAGCATGCAAGTTGTATCTCATAGGGGTGCATAATCTGATTGTTGAAGTCAACGCACAATTCATAAAAGGCATGCTCAACAACCCCAACATACATCCTGAGGCAATCATCAACCAATGGATAGCGACAACACACCTTTTCCACTTTGAACTCATACATGTTCCTAGCAAGTGTCACGCCCCAGACGGGCTTTCACGACAGCACCTCCAAGAAGGCGATCTAAACGACCCACCGATAGAGGAAGTTGACGATTGGGTTGACCATGCCTATGGCTTCATGCAGCTAATCAATGTTGCAACAGCGCCTGGGGAACACGAGATTGTCCAAGCCCTAGTGGATCCGAATCCAGCGCGCGCAAGAGAAGCTACGGTCAGCGCAGTCCTAAACTTATGACAAGGTAGCGCAGAATTGCACCCAGCACATTATGACCTCGCATGCAATGATATACTGCGCTCTTCCAAGGCTGGGAGCCTGGATGAATGACTAGCGCCGATGTGGACATGGCTACAAGACATGTGTCGTCCAGACACCATGACAGACACTGAGTACCATCCATTTATTAGATGGTGTAGACGCTTCTTTGTGCATGCAGGACGACTATGGCGCTGGGGAAAGGATGGAATGCACTGTCTAGTCCTTTCAGTAGATCAATGTGTACCTGTGCTCCTAGCAGCGCACGACCATTTAGGTCACCACGGCATATATCCAATCCTTCAGCACATTTGCAAAAGGTTTTGGTGGCCTGACCTAGGTGCTGACATCGCGTGGTACATCAAGACGTGTTATCCATGCCAGCTACGACAATCACGCAAGTATCATATACCGCCTGTGGTCGCAATGCCGCCAACAATCATGGCAAAAGTCTACATCAACACCATGTATATGCCAGCCTCAGGAGGGTATCATTTAGTAGTACACAGCAGATGTGCACTATCGTCTTGGCCTGAAGCACATATGCTTCGACATGAGACAGTGAAGACCATTGGCAAATGGCTTTATGACGACCTACTCATACAATGGGGGGCGCTAATGGAAATCGTCACAGACAAGGTGCACCATTCGTTCAAGCCTGCGAATACCTGCGCAAGACATACCACATCACGCACATCTGCATTTCTGGCTACAATTTGCGAGCGAACGGCATAGTAGAATGCAAGCACTTCAATCTCCGCCAAGTCTTGTTCAAGCTATGTGCAATTAGCTCAGATGGTGTCATAGCAGAGAACGAGTGGAGTTGACACTTCCACCACACATTGACGAACACACAATCAGTACGTCTGGGAAAAACCGTACATCACACGATTTTGTCATTGTGCACCATCACACACCATCATCTACTGCCTGCACTCATATCTCATCACCACGCACTCGCCCAACCGAGATCATGTGACTTTATTGCACGCTGCAGATCACGTGATCTGCGCTCCTGCATGCGCTCGTTGTCCTGCGCATTCCCACACATGCCATACATGCACCATGCATGAGCACACATGATCACGTGATCACGCGGGCACCCTACATCTATTTTCCGCATTGTTACGACCTGTTTTAGGACCACATGAAGGCTCCGGCACATCGCGAGAGGACGCAGTGTGTCACGTGATGACACGAAAAGTCGCAGCGAGGTCTCGAGAGGTTACCGCCATCAATATGTCCACGGAGATTGTCGCTAGCACCACATCATCTGCGGCCGTTGCAGTGCTCTCCACCATCGTTGGTCCTCAGATCGCTATTCCCATAGATATATCTTATCATCATCCTCGTGTGGAATCGTCTGAAACCGACGTTAACTCCTCGAATGTTTTGTGCATCCCAATTGCTGTGCTGATCCCGGCCCTCCTGTTCCATCTCGGCTACACAAGTCTGGCAGTCATGGGCATGCATTGGATGTCAGTGGAGCCCGAGAGCGAGTCCACGCTCTTTTGACGGGGTTGTCACCTTCGCATCAAAACGCGGCGACATTGACTGTTGTTTTGTGTTTTGGTTTCCCGAATCTCTGTCCCTTCTTCTGTTTCATTAACTGGATGACCGTGTGGCCCTGCCATGTGTGGCGACATACAGCCTTACTTTCCATCCCACCACCTTTGCGTTATTTATGACAAGAACATCGTTGCACACCAATTTATTCTGTGCGACTTTTATTTCCTTTTTCTAGCTACCTGGCTATCTGAATTGCTCCGCAAGGGCACGCGGCTGGGTTTGTACTCAGTCACCACGCTTTCAGTAAGTTTTACATGTCTGCATTTTTGAGCATACTAATCTCCAGGCATCACTCGACCGGGGACACGATTTTAATAATTTAATCCGTTACACCACTGGATGGTGGCACATGCCACATACAGACTATTCCATCGCTCTTTCATCATCGAACTGGATCACCCCGTTAACTTCCATTTGTCGTGTGTGATGCTGCATCAGAACTATTTGATTCTGTTCATCAGGCTGCGATCGATTTGGACGTGCTACACGGCTCTATTGTCTCGTTCCCACTTGCGCCTCCCTCCTACTTGTCTGCGTGCAAACATAAACATTCTCTTCACCACGCACCCTCACGATACTATGCTATCATCTGCTAATTACAAATCTGCCAGGCTCTGGCATAGCACCGTTGAGCTCACACATCTCTCTCTCCCTGTTCCACGATCACTCTGTCATATTCAGCTGGCACCCGATCGCCGAAATGCTGTGTTCTGGAATTTCCACAAGTCTTTCCGTACTATTCATGTCATCGCATCAGCTCTTGAGCATCTACTATGGGTCGCTCGGGCCGTTGTCTTCAGTATGATGGCCTCGTTTGGGTTGAACTCCTTGTGGTGTTCCCCCCCCCCCCCCCTCTGTCCAGAGGAAATTGGGGTTTTGGGCTGCTGGTGTTATCTCGCGGGCCGAAAATCTGCTGGCACAGTTGAGTTCCTTTGTTTTCTGCGGCCTAGTGCCCAGATAGAATTCCCTCCAGTTGGATTATGACTACGCAGCGACTCCATATTCCTGCACAGCTATTCTCTTATTTTTTTCTCATTTTCGGCTGTCTACATACCCGAGGCCACCTTGATGGTTTGGCCGACATGTGGCTTAGAGGAGACACTTGAACTTTCACAACAAGTTAGACTTTTGTTTAATTCCTCCATGGTACATATGCCCGGACTTTTTCTTTAGGTTACTGTATAGCACACCATTCCTCCCAATATTCTTGACCAGATGTGCGAATCAACAGGGTGACTTTGTAAAGCCGGAGACACGTAGATTATACATACTGTACAGTAAAAACTCTACATTTCGCCTTCTCTGGATTTTTCTATCAACAGTGATGACGGTGAGTTGAATGTGCTCACCTGATAGTCGTGAAACGCTGACTGTCTCACACAGTGCTGCCACACATATGCATATGCAGTTAGTCCCATTCCTCCTGCTTCTGTTGCTCAGCAACAAGTCATTACACACGATTATCACGTGTTTCTTGCGGCCGTCTTTGTTGTGCCTTGATGGCCACGCTGATACGGATGGTGTATTGCAGGTGTTGGGTCTGTTGGGGTCAACGCATGCGCTTTCGGCGTGGCTGCAGTGCTGGCATATGCGAACTTGGGGGACACGACGACGGCGACGATGCTGGAATCAAGACTATCCAGAACGGTTCGGACTTGCTGCAGCTTTTTTTATATATTCGCCATGCCTTGGTAGCTTCATCAACCATCCACTCCTCTAGGTGGTTGTTGTATGTGTACTGGATATTTTGCGTGTGGTTTTTCCTCCAGGTGTTTTTTGAATGCGTGCGTCGAGCGCGTTCATTCCAATGGATTCTTGACATATTGACGTATCTCTCCATTTAACGCCTGCCAGCATTTTGTTTTGTCCTTATGCACGGCGTCCGATTGAGAACAACACGAGGTGAAAGCAATATTGTGGCGGCACAGCCCACTCAGCCACACAGGACAGGCATGTGCAAGTACGTCCGCTGTGTGTAGTGGCGATAAGTCTCAAAAGCCCGTGGTTTTGCTATCTTTGTGTGTCCGTTTTTTTTTAGTTTTGTGTAGTATCCCTGCAAGTCTTCCAGGCTTGAGAGTTTGAGCGGTGGGACCTACATGTGTATGGCTCTGTCTATCTTCAGACCTGCTTAATATATTGCTACTACTGCATGCCATCTTTCAAGAAAACTTTTGACATTCTCTGTGTAGGGGAAATTTTTTATTCACGTCAAAGAAAAACAATATAAATGCGAATATTTCGGATACAGGGAATCGAACCCCGAGCTTGCGCGTCACTTATTAGCCCAAGCAAGTATGAGAGGCGCAAATGTTAGCCGTTACACCATATCCGACATGACTTTGCATGGTGTCGACAACTTTTCGAATACTCATCATCAACACCGATGCAGTCCAGTGCGTAGCAATTTTTAGTATGTCTCGTTTTTTTCTTCTTAGCCTTGTCTGGTCTAAAAATAGAATTTTCTACAAAAGGTTGTCAACCATAATCCATTTTTTGTTTAGCTTTTCCTAGCTCGAAGCTACTACATATGAAGCAGTCGTCGCGAACAACATACAACACGTATCAGATCGGGCCCGTTAGAAGAATTTTGGATAGACAGTAGAAAGAGGATCCAATGTCATAAGACGAGGGAAAGGACGTGTGATCAGGAAAACCATAGATGTGCCTGTGAGCACATGCCGTGGCCTCTATGACACGCATGATAGATAGATACCACAAAGCATACAAAAAAGAAATAAAAGGTAAGTTCTCATTCAATTGAACTTGTTTTCCGTGTTGCTCTCGTCGAAGATGTTCTTCAGAGGGCAATGGACGATTGATTCAACGCGCTTCCTCCACTCCGGGTTTGCAAACCGCCGCAGTCAAGCATCACGTTTACAGTACCTCAACCGCGACATGCTCTGGTCCCCGATTTTGTGTTGCTGCTGAAAAAAAAAAAGAGACGGTAGCAGCAAGCGATAGGAATAATGCCATCAGCATGCGTGATTATGGGATTTAACATCAAAAAACGTGCCTTCGACCGAGGGGCCATCTTCGCTCGTCGTACGCTCGGTACCGGATGCGACCTTCTCGTCCGCGACCTTGGTATCTGACGCGGTGGGGGCAACGGTCTTCTTTTCGCGCGAGATGCGCAACTGGCGACCTGCGGCGCTTTCATGGCCGAATATGCGTGTGCGGCCCTGCGATTGAGAAGGGACCGGGTGCGCATCAAGTATGGGAAATAGGAGAGTTGAAGGAGTCGGCGTGGCGGAAACGAAACGGGGGAGGACCGGCGATGATGACCATGGAACGGATTTGAACAATCAGTCAAAGAAAAAACATGCAAGTAAGCGCGGGAAAGAAAACACACTTCCTTGTATTTCATGCACGCGAGGATGAACATGGCAGCGAGCCAGTAGACCACGTACGAGACCACGGAGCCGACTGCAAAGGGGCACGTGAGTATCATATGTAGTCGGGAAAAAACATCGATATGCGAGTGCGGAAGGTTGGGGGGGGGGGACGTGGGAGAGGAGAGGCGTTCACCGAGGAGCGAGAAATGTGATGGGAAGTGTCCCAATGCAAAGGAACGGCTGCGAATGCAAAAAGACAGGAATTATATGCAAATCCCAGCAAGGAAATATAGAGGGGGGTGTGATATAAGGGCAGAAGACAGACGAATAACTGTCAAGACTTTTAGTACTCAACTCGTCGCGCTGTTCGTCCATCCAAAGAGGGCATTGAAGATCTCCCAGCCCTGACCGTCGTAGTTGTCCTCTGGGTTGCAGCAGTCGAGATGCCAGACCTGAAGAGCACCGCGTGGTAGCATACAATGGGTGGCAATATGTAGCGCATGATGGCAGGCAGGGATGAAAACCCGAGTGAATCAAACCAACGGGTGTGGATAGTTGGTAAAAATGTGCATCAATGGTCAGGTAAACACGCCTTGCGTCAAAGACATGATAACACGACTCACACTTCCGCGCACATCATAAGAGCCGGGGCCATCTCCTCCTGTGTCGTCGACATCAGCACCGACGAGGAGAGTAAATGCATGGTCCTGAGCCACAGAACGCGCTTCAGCCAACCACAAGGGAAAACCAGAAACCGAAGTTGCACACCTCGAACGACCACACCGCGCGCGAGAACAGGCCGGCGCCGATGAGAAGCAAGAAGTTGGTCATCACGATGAGGAAGATGCGGAGCGCTGTTCTCGCCAAACAAAGAAATCCCGTCAATTCCGCTAACGACCATGACAATCGGTTGAAAACTCACTTGCGCGACTCGCGAATCCGTAGACGACGATACCGCACACGATGCCCGTCGCGAGACCGACCACAGCCGCGAGCGGGATCGCCGTCGCGGATTGACCGAGGGAAACGCCACCTGTTCAGAGTAGTACGCGGCGTATGATTGGCCCGGAGTGGTGTAAGGCAAAATCGAGCAATACAGGTTGAACGTCGCCGTGTGTAAGGTGACCGAAAGAGTGGGGCAACAGGAAATAGTAAACGTTCATTAGAAGCCAGATTTGGGTGAAAAACAACTCAAAAGAGGAACGCACCGACAAATATGACTGCTTCAAGACCCTCTCGCATAACGGTGATGAGCGGGAGGATGAGGAGTACCCATCGGCCAGAGCGCGTGCGCACGTCGACGTCTGTTAATTTTAGGATGTTAGGTCAGCGCTCATCCGGCTTCTTCAATATAGTAGAACGTGTTTAGCGCACGTTTTCCCGCAAACGCGGCTTGGAGCTTCAACCTCCAGTGCACCTTCGCTGTATTACGTCGGAAAAAATGTTAGAACATGACCAACGCGGTAATGTGAAAACGCAGACACGTACCGCGATCCAATTTGACCATTGTCACTCCCATAATGAGGATCATGAGCGCAGCGATAAGCTCGAATATACCCTGTCAGAATCGGAAGGGCATTTTCACGCAGGCAGTTGTCAATTACGAGGAGAATGGTTCCCAGCAACGGAACGTTCGCAGCATAGTAGAACAAAGAGACGAATTACCCGCCGCGATAGAGTACAGCCCAAAAAATGGTGAATCAGAAAGGACAGACAAAAAAAGCTAAGCAAGCAGGAATAGCCCGCGCACCTCCCACAGATCTTCAGTACTGGACCACAGATTAGACGCCTGCGTGAACCAAACAGCAATGAATCTAGGGAGAAGTTGCGGTTAGTATTAAGGCGTCTGGTGGTCGGCGAAGAAAGGGGAGTTTGGAATGGATGCCATGGCCGAGTGAAAAGAGCACCAAAAGAGTGGTGCGAAGGAGAGAGGAGCAGAAGTGCAGAGAACAGAAAAACAGAAGGAAGGGGGACTCACGCAGCGCCGATCGCAAGGGCGATGAAAAGACCAATGGCCGAGCCAATGAAGACCTGTTTTTTGACCGTCGTCGCCGTCATTGTCGTATGGTTGTCCATGTCGGGTCGTTACATATGGCCATCGGTGGATAGTTACGGAAGGAGGTCGTGGCATGGAGGAAGTCGGTGCATTTATGAGACGGTAAACAGCCGATTCGTGCGTCGCACAGAGGGGACAAGTTCGTCAGTCCATCGTATGCAGGAACACAAATTAACAGAAAAACAGAAATGAATAGGAAGGGGTGTCCACGTTCACGCGTGCATGTATGTGTTAGGAAAAGATGGTTCCCGTAGTGATTCTTGCATACAACCACGTGCGAGCAAAAGAAAAAGACATAACGGCCATGCATGATTTCTTTTTTAAAAAAGGCGGATCCAACCGGTTCCATAAAAGAAAAAGATAATAGGTCCAACTGCGACAGACAAACAAAAAGTCGTATAGAGTAGAGAAGATGCTCAAGGCAGAAAGAAAGAAGTGCTCCACAAAACCAATAAATTCTGCCTGAACGTACCTGAATCTTAAGCTTCCTCTTCAGCACGCGGCGGTGCTCGGCGTCGTCGACCACCGATTCCTCTATGTCGGATCCTATTGGTGTGGAGGGGGCATCTTTGGCACGATCCGATTAAGAGTGCACAGTATAAGACGATTTGGTGTACAAATTTAAAACAGATAACGATATGAGTGAGGGACGAAAAGGGAAAAAAGACGTTTGCAAAAAAAAAAAAAATCGATAAGACAGTTGAAAAAGAACGAAAAACAGACAGACACTCACTCGCACTCTCCGCGTTCTTCTCATCCGTCGTAGTCGCGGCGACGGTCGTTTCGCCTATGCGTGAAAGAAAAAAAAAAACGACAATGTGTCAGCCTCGCTCTCCCCCATCCCTACCCTGTGGCTCCAAGAAAGAACTCACCTCCCACCTGCGTTGTTGTGTTCCCTCCGTTCTCCCCGGTGGTGTGCTCTTCGCCATCCAGCCGGCCGGTGTCTACGATCTGATCGACAAGACCGAGCAGCGTCGAGACGATGATCGCAGCCTCGAGCGTCTCGCGCCAGACAATGAAATAGATGGGCACAGAAAAGACGGATTTGGTCATACTTCGTTAATGGTGCGGAAGAGGTGCTGTTAGTTTTACGATAGAATTTTTTCTGTTGTGAAAGGTGGAACGTGAGAGGATGCGTAGGTGAGATGGCGGATGGAGAAGTCAAGGGACGACAGCTGGGTGTAAGTGTGAGAATGAGGCAAATAGCGTGCGGGCGCAAGTGGGCGCTCGCTGGGAGTTAAGCCGGGAAAAGAGACGATCAATCTTCTTCTTGCCCTTGACGGCTAGCGAACAACACCCTCGTGTGGCGTCTGAGTGCAGACGGATATATCCTTGAAGACGGAATTTGGATATAGCCCGGACAAGCGAATGGGAGGACTCTGAGGACCGCCGCGGTGTGTCTTAAGTCGAGTGGTGAGAGGGCGGATCTCGAACGACAAATGTTATCGTGAGAAGCCGGGATGGACGGCAGTCGAAGAACGTAAGGGGCAAGGCCTGCGAGACGGCACCAGTGCAACGTTGGAGCACTGAGTTCGGGGGAAAAGGACAAGCGTTCCAAGGGGCTGGCCACCGGCGCTTTGAGTGATAAAGCTACCGTGAACCCGTCCACTGATGTGTGCACGCGCCGTCACAGTTTTATCTGATAACGTCAGTGCTGTAAGTGTCAGTGCTGTAAGTGTAGACATTTCATGTATAAGTTGTCGATTTGCAGATGTGAGTATTCGGGGTACATAATGCAAATGTTTTTCTGCTTACCCCTCACTTTGTCTAAAAGCGAAGCACGAGTAGAATTTTTCTAGCTTCGTTTGGTGTACGGTCTGCGTTGGGAGATGAGAATTCGCACGGGACTTCTGAACCTATCCCGGGAAAACAAAAAGCACATCTACTTACTTAGCTGCAACTCCGTCCAGTCGCGGACGGTCTGCGCTCTTTGTCCCTCTGTTA